GATATGTCAGGGACTGACTCCCTCAAGGGAGAGAAACCACTTGCTGAAATATGTTGGTGCGATAGCAGCATTAAATAGATTGTTGTTACAGCCATCACGTGTGCAATTTTTTCAAAATCTTGTTTTGTTTCTGATCAACACTTTTAGGAGTCATTGGGTTAGATTACGGCAAAGATTCAAAATTAGCAAAAAACCCCTCAAAACCATTTAATTAGTGGAATAGATTAGTAATTGTTATGAATTTAGTATGCCTAGAGTTAAGGAGTTAACCTGAAAATGTACTTTTCCAAGGCCTTCAGTGTTAACCTTTATCAGTACAGTACCTTTTTTACTATGTACTATACTTATATATTATATACTTACTTAAAGAGTCCAAAAAAAAGCTTTCTTTTTTTTTTAATTTATATTAGCCTCTCTTGAGTCCTCCCTTTTTTGTGTTAAATGGTTTGTTCAAATGCTAGAAACTGCTGAAAACCATTTAGCAATGTGCAGTGTCTATTTGAAGAAGATCCTTCAAAACAGCAAAGATTTGCAGGACAGAGATCTTGATTCCCCAGACCAGTGGGGAAGATATTTGAATAAAGCTTTTATGTTTCAGACTGAGGTCAAAATAGATTTTTGCTGTATTACCAATAGATTTGTTCGAAACTGCATTTATATCCGTACTCCAAATCCGACTATCATTAATCAGAACTCTTCAGTGTCAGTTTGTTTGGAAGGTGGCAGAATCTGGCTGTGAGGCTGTGGAAGACAGGAATGAAGATCTTGACACAATAGTTGGTATTTTCAACAGAGCACAGGGGAACTGTGTGTGCTCCAGTGGTGCTGTGATGCATGTGCTACACCCTGCCCTGTTTCAAGAGCAACGAGTAGGCAGGATCCTTCTCTTATTTCCAGGCACTTTGTGCCAAGAATGACAATCTTGAAAAATGCTTGGTGTTATGGCAAGCATGACAATACACTTGTTTTCTTGGGAACTCTTGCATCTCTTGTCCCCCGTAATAAATTTGAAGGAGATCAATTTACTCTCTGCTTTTTTTGCTCTTGTTTTTTGACTTACAGTTGGGAATATGCTTAATTTTGACACATTGTAGTAGTTTATCATTTGTCTCTATAGTATTTCTCAGCTCTAGGCATATCTACTGTTCTATCCAAAGATATGTAAATTTCCCATTGCACTGTTTTGAACCAATTTACAGTTGCAGTGAAAAAAACCTTTGGTCTTTCACAGAACTCATTCAGAAAATTTATTGGAAAATTTTCTCGTTTTCTATATTCTTAACCAAGTTTGCAATACAACTTCTGATCCTCTCACCTGTCAGTTGGTAAAGGAAAAACTATTTTCCTAAATTATATTTTTCTGTGGATTGCACTGTTCCTGATTATTCAAAATGACTTTGTTTTAGCAGTCTTTATTCGAAGTTTGAAGTCTTTATTTTATTCTTTCTTTAAGATAGGCCTAAGACATTCCTTTCTTGCTTCCAGAAGAAATTGCATAGATATGAAATATTACATGGCTTTGAATTTTTTTCTCCTATTCATGCTATTTTTATGTCTTGAACTTTCTCATAACTTTCTTTCTCTCCTCTGTGACTATAGGGATTACACCATGCTGAAATGTTGCTGCGCTGTCTGAGTGCACTTTCTTCCTAACCTAACTTCTCTATCCAAGATTTAAAAATTTAGATTTTCTTCCAGCTTAATCTGCTGAAATCAGAAGTTTTTCCATTAATGGTATTGAAGAAACAACTCTCACTGAACTGACTGATGGTATAATAACTGTATTAGACTTGTGTATTTTTTAATTGAAATTAAATAATTTACTGTTTTGTTTTTAGTTCTGAATTGGTTGAAATTTCTCATAGGCTTTGAATTGCTCAGAACAGAACTAGTTTTTAATTGGCTCAAGAGCTGAGGCACAATGTGAGGAAGGAGTAAAACTTTATTTCTAACAGTAAAAAGTTAATGTTCTTAAAAATCTCTTTACGAAAAAACTTAAAGTTATTCCACAGATAAAGATTACTATATTGAGTGGAAAAAAATGATCAGATCATATTTGACTTTTTAAAAAATATAAAGATTGTATTGGCAGCTCATTAACTGTCTGATTTAAACACTACTCACACCACTCCTGCTTTATTCCCTCTTTAACCCCCTGTGGAACAATGTAACCACAGAAGAAGTGTGTAAACCTAACTTTGGTTAACACCTTTTTCTTCTTGGAAATAGGTTAACACAGTTCAGTAACTTGCAAGCTATGATAATATATATATCGTATTTCTGGTTCTATTGATATGTTTCTTGTTCATAGATTGACACCCTCTTTCTTATGGTATTGAATCTGTCATTACTGCATTCAGTTGGCTAAGTGGGTTATGGAATAAAGCCCTGTAAGATCAACTTTATTTCTGTAATCAAGTAGAATGTTTAAAAACCCTATTCATAAATGCTGTAAAATGTTGTGGAGTTTATTCCTGTAAAAATTGACCAAGCTAATCAAAATCAGGTGTGTTTGAATTGTTATTCTAATTAATGCAGAGGCCAGAAATATTGAAATATTGGCACCAGCACTAGATGCATTACATTGTCTACAAATACGGTGGTTTGACTCTTTTTCTACACGTTTAGGAATCCTGTCACTTGAGATATGATGGAAGCTGGTTTCTAAGAACCTAAATAATTCTCTGACTCGGTGTTAACCTTGCCCTCTGCCCGCACCCTTCTTTTTCAGCAGTTGCATCTTTTTCAACTTACATCTCAAAATTCTCTTCAGACAAACTGTTTTACAAGTTTATCACTGTGGAGGTCAACTGAACCTCATTTTCCAGAGGAACAAATATTAGCTTTAAAAAGAAAAACAGCAAGTTCTAGTTAGCACCAGTTTCAAGGCCACATGTAAGTTCTTATAATTTATTGACCTGTGAAAGCTGCTTCAGCCATTTAGCTTAAGTACCTCCAATAGAATGTTATGTGTTTGGCTTGTCCGGTTATTCAAGTGGCCATGCTATAGAAACATCTTGTTCTGAGTATGGTTCCTCTGTATATTATCTTCTTCCTTCAGTGAAGTGGTAGCAATAGCAATGACTAGCTTGATTATACAAAAGGGTGTTTCTCTCTGTTCTGTGATTCCCTTTCTTTTGTGTCACGTTGCATATGGCAAGGTATAGGAAAAAGTGCAATACAGAATGTATCAGGTTCCTGATGCCTCCTGCTCTACAGGTGGGAGGAACTGGGATCATGTTCCATCATCTCTTGAAATGTTTTTCCATGTACTAATTGCTTACCCAAACACTTATACATTTTTTTTCCTTGACTATTCACATGCTCTTGATTGTGGGATGGTTTTTTTGGATTTTTTTTTTTTTTGGTACCTTTGCTGATTCTGTATCCTGAAGAGTAGAATGGGTTGAAGCTGGAAGTAAGTAGCATTCTCTTTGCTGCACAGTACTGTGTATTCCAGCGTGTGCATGGAACTGCAAGACAGTAATCTGCATACTAAAGGAAGGCACCATTAATTATGCAGCTATTGCACTGTGAGGAGTGGATAATTCTAGGTTTCAGTGGCCTTGAATCATTATAAGGGTTATGTTTTCCAATGTATTAACTTTTTTTCACTGATCTTGCGAGTGTTAGACACAAGCAAGCACCTGAAGCTGACAGAATTAACCACAAGGATCCTATTGCTTTGCCTATTTTCTTTTGATTCTTATGCATATGCTTACCATTATCTTTGCTTGGAGTTTGCTGTTGCTTAAGCTTTTGTCTCTTCCTTACTCCTATCATGACCTTGTAAATGGTAACATTCAGGATTTTGTTCTGTTATAGATTTCAGTGGTGAAAAAGTCCCAATGTTAGAACTGGAAACATCAGAAAATATAAAATAGACTGAGGCAGTTCTGCAGCACAACATATGAGAATATATTTTATAGTCTTCTATAGGAGAATGTCTTGTACTCTGTTTATCTGACAGAAACAATTTATTTCTTCAGAGAATATGATTTATTATTTTTTTTTTAACTGATCAAGAAGGGAGGTGCTGTGTCCTTATTTGAAATCTACTTCTGGGATAGGCTGTAAGCAGTAGTCCCACCTTTCTGCAGTGGATCTGGAAGACCTGTAGCTTAGGCATCGCTCCCACCTTGGCCAAGAGCACAGATAGATAGGATCGAGGTCCGAAACAGCTCCCAGTTCTGTCCGGGGGTGGGTTATCCCTGCCTGACAACGCTCCTGCGGTCACTAGATGGCAGTCTGTCCTCCGGGATACACAGGGCCATCGGACCTGCATCCCTACTCGAAGATTAATAAGATTTGGATCAGTTCAGTCAGTATTAAATCACTTATAGTGTTGATGAAACAAAAATTTACATCAGAGATGAAATGCGTTGCTCACACTGAAGCCTGAGTTCTGTCGCTGTGGAGCACTTGGTGTTCAGCCGTGCTGCTGGTTCTCTCTTGTCCACTGCCCCCATTCTAATTTTCAGTTTATTTGAGGTAGTTTTGTTTTGGTGTTTTTGTTTTGGGCTGGTGGGGTTTTTTGGGGTTTTTTTTGGTTTTTGTTTTTTTTTTTTTGGTAAGGGGGAGTAACAGAGTGGGGAAAGGAAGTTGAAGGTAAAGTTGTGAACAAATCTGAAATCTTCCTTGTGTCTTCATAGATTATTAAAGTAAAAAGGATAGGGTTTACCAGTTTACTGCCAAAAGTGTTGCACTTCACTTGTAATGATAATTTCCAGGGAAACTTCTAAGTATTTCGCTTCAATACTTAGGTATTATTTAATTTTTTTTTAATAGAAAAAAAATTTTTAAATGCTAAATCTCTTTGCAAAAAGAAGGCATTTACAGTTCTGCATTAACTACTTTATTAATCGCTTTCAAATTTCAGAATTTTTTATTTCATAAAAGGAGCTTTTTTTTAAAAAAACCCTTTATTTTTAATTTCTTTCACTTCTGTAAAAACTGGTTGCAAAAGATATTAAAATACTTATTTAATACTTCTCTTTTAGCAGCATGCTACCAAAAGAGCTTGAAATATGTTTAATTATATAAGGAATGTTTCCAGAACAAACGGAAAATTTACGTATACTGCTTGAAGACTATTAAGGTGTAGAATATTTAGAATACCAGGTATTGCATGCTTTTTTTTATTATTTCCTTGAAAAATGCTTAAGAGTAATTTTTAGAAATTTAACAATCAAACAGATATCTGATGCATCCTACCTCATTTAGTCATTCACTGCATGGTGGATTTTTTTCTCAACAGCATGTCAATATTGCATCGATATCATCATTAGGAATTTTAACAATCAAATGGATTTGCAGTGTATGCTTATCACGATTAGCAAGCATGTGCTGCATATTTCTATTAACAGCACATCAATATCATCATTAGAAAATCAGCAATCAAATAGATCTGTAGAGCAAGCATATGCTGAGCATCATAATATTTAGAATCCAAAAAGGCTTTGTTTAACATAAGTCTATTTCTGCTTCAGTTTATTTTTGCTTCTTATCAGAATGGCTATCTTGATGCCGTCTCTGACTGTAAAACCTTTAAAACAGTGTTTCTGTAAACATAGTATGATTTAAACCTTTACTACAAACTCCAGTAATAGGGCATTAGGATTCACAAAGGTATTATAAAAGTGTTTATGAAAGACTTATAGTATACTATGCCTTTCACTTTGCAAAAAAAGCTTTGATTTTCAAGGGTAACCTTAGTACTGCATACATGCAGCTATTTATCACTTGTCCTGCTTCCCTTTAACTGTGTGAAAGACTTTAATATGCTTTCTCTGCACATATGATTAAGTTGTGGTTTAATGTCTACTATTTAGGAAAAAAAAATATAACCAACAAGACCCAAAAGTTATTTCTCATGTATTTTTTTAGATTTATATAAAGAGTACAACCTAGTATTGGCATTCTAACATGATGAAAATGCAGTAGCAATAGGCTCTAATTTTGTGCCATATACTGGAGAATTAATGGTATGCCCCTATCTCTGTAAGATAGGAAACAATTAACTGTTGTCCCACACGCATATGTGTATTCCCTCTTTTGATGCTGATCAGGTGCAGTGACACATTGATAAAAGAGAAATATTGTAGTTAGAAAATTTCGTTTTGGATGTCCAAGATGTGTACAAATTTTGTCTGAGAAACCAATTGAACCAATTACATTAAGAAAGAAATTTTTTTCTATTAGTTTCTAAAAATGTTAATTGTAAACTTAATGGAGAGACATGATGCAAGTTGCTTTTGTGACTTTTTTAAATAACAGTTATTGCAGAGCAGAATTTTGGCCTTCTGTCTTTATTACCTTTGAAATACCCATTTATTTTTAGCCTTGCTTTAAGTACAATAACATAATAAGGACTCGTAGAGTCCTACTTTAAAGAACCATTTGTTTGGGCAGTAAAAATATAGCCTCTCAACATCCTTAACCAATTATCCCTCTTTGTTTATGCTGTTTATGGCTTGTAGGGTAATGGCTCCAGCAGAGCTAATAGTTAGCCCTGGACTGGACATCATTGCAGGAGGAAGATTCACTTCTCATGGAGATGACTACTGCAGTCTCCCCAGGCTGCGTGAGGTCTCTGCTAGGGTCGTGCTCCTGACATTTTGCAGCAGGTGAGGACAAGGACATAGCACATACTGTTTAAAGACGGATAGTTTAACCTTGCCTAACATTTCACCTTGGCTACTGTTGTTTTTCATAGCTCCCTTTTCAGAGCTGATATAGTAGCTTTATGGGTGTGGAAGCATGATTTTTATCTTGGCATTGGTTTAAGGATAATCAGGTCATCTGCAGAAAGAAGTCTGAACTCTGACTCTCCTCATTTAAAACCAATGATCTCCCCAGCCTATCTGACTTGACTGTGTACTTCAGCAATTTGATGATGTTGATTTATATGAAAATGAGTATTATACTTTCCTTTATTTCATATCCACTCTTTACTGCATTAAAAAAGTTACTCTGCAGTAGTCATGGTAATTGTATGTCCTGGACTTGCTTCAGATGCATCTGAGCCTCATGGGAACCACTCACATGGCAGCTATAAAGATTTTTTTTATTTTTGTTTTATGTCATCAAATTGTGTTCTCTGTGTCTATATCCAATGCAGGGGTCATGAATTTTAGGTTCACTAATAGCATAAAACAAGTCTAAATGAAGAAAAAGCCTTCTGGAGGCTTGCATGGATAGTGCAAGCACAAACAGAAACTGCTGATTACTAAGCTTTCCTAACTGTCAGGTAGTTATGCTCAGCTGACGCAATAATAATTTGCACAGAACAATAAGCTGTATTGCTGTATATAATATTCTTTTTTCTAATGACTCATTATCTCAGGATGATAAGGAGATGATTAGAATATAAGTGTATTAAAACATAATTGCTTTTCTATTCAAACAAAAGCATGCAGTGTACACATCGTGACAAATGCCTAATGAATAGAAGTGGAGCTTTTTTGTTTTGTTTCAGTTTATGGCAATGCCTACCATAACTGCCTAAGATCTTAATTGCTTTTAATTTTAACAGTTACCTGATAGGTGCTTTTCTTGGAGAATCATACAGAAGACTATGCTGCTTCACTGCAAAGGTGGGCTGTTTTCAAACATAGACTGTCAACTTCTATGATTCAAGTTGAACAACTATAAGAATATTAACTGTGCATAGCTATTGCTACTGTACAGTAAGTAATTGTATAAATTCTGTCCCAATGTGTTTTTTTTCCAATCTGTGGTAGATAAAATGCACTAAAAACCTTTGAAAAAAAAAGTTAATTTTTAAGAAAATGTATATATATTTATATATAAATATTTATTATATGTAAAAAATTGACCTCCCAGAGATGTATTATCACCAGACTTGAATAAGAAATGTGTGAGTGCTAAAGCCAACCTTATCCAAGCATCCGTGTTCAGTTCTCATAATCACTGGTAAAATCCTAAACTTATGTTGCACTGGCTAATTATTCTCCTCAGATGACACTGGTCCTAGGTAGTCAGTTCCAGAAATGCATGTGAATATGAAAGATGCCAAGGCAAAATTTCCTTCCACTTGCAGGTTCGTAGTGTACCTTTTCTTTTGATGACCAATGTTACTGGGCTGTAATTTCGGACTTTTCACTATCATCCGCTCAACCAGAACCACCATAGTACGTGGTATCTTTAAATAATTAAACTTTGTCTCTATCCCTGGCCTATTACTCAAACCACTGGAATCTTTTCCAAATGCCTTGGCCAACGGTTGTGGAAATACTGCCTGTGCATTATAGCAATTGGTGAACTAAGTGTGAACCATCCTCTGTATTTTTTTAGTAGGAAAATTCAGTCTTCATTAGCTATGTCTCATTACTTATTTGTCCAGGGCCATCATCATGACATCAATGACAGAGATTGTGGTTAAACTCTCTTGAGAGCTAAATCAAAAGATCTCATCTTTTCTGTTCTCTAGGAGACCTGACGGACCATGCTAAGGACAAGAAAGACAAATAAGTACATAATCAACTGCACCAAGACAGAGTGCTGTGCAGGCATCAGGCAGCGGATGGTTGTGCCTCAGCATCCCCTGTAGTGTGAGGAATTTCTATACTTGCAAGGCTCAGACCAAGTATGCTGTCTCTTACCAAGTGTTATTATGAGATATATTTGAGTATACTTCCTGCTTAAACCTAGTGGAAAATCAGATTTACTTTACTAAAACTAAATGTAATGACATATCATTTGTGTAGAGCAGTCAAAAACCTGGCACTTTATTTTTTTATGTGGCTTTAAATGTTTGCAAAAGTTGTATTTTTTTATTGCTTAATTAAAGTTTTATTTTATGAAAGCCATGATACACTTTCTGAGGGCAGTGGATGCTCTTTCCAAACAGTACCTCTTTACTAGTTTCCCTGCAAGCAGATGAGTGAGCAGATACTCGATGTATGTGGTGGCCAGATATGCTGCTTGGCATGATGTGGTTCTGCAGGACAGAAGTACAAGATGCTTATGCATATTGTCCTTCACTCTGGCTCCTCTGAAACAGTGCTTGGACTTCTACTTTCTTCTCTTTGCTTGTCATCTTGATATCAAGTCAACATCTGGAAAAAATATTGTTCAGAGATCCATCTTGCTCATATCTATGAGGTATCTAAAACATTTTCAAACCTTTAAACAAAAGTTTTTGGTGGGTGTCTCAAAAGTAGGTGAATTTTTCCTTAATGCAGTCTAGGTTTCTGGTATGTTATTTACCAGGGTACAAGGAGCGGTTGAAGTCCCGCATTTTCGTTGCACCTCCACCAGTATGGATGTATCAGGATAAAAGAATGTCTTTGCAGGACAGGCTTTCTCAGAGATATCCTTTCTTTTTTCCCATCACCACTCTACCTGAAAATGAGACTGGGAGAGATTTTAAGGGCAAGTGCTGTCTTGTTCCAGGTTTCTTCCTGTTCCTTTGAATCCATGTTCCAGCTCTCCTATATTCAGTATTCGTATCCATATTCAGTATGAAGCAGAATTCCTCCTGGGTAATGTAATCCAGAGGTGAGATATTACGGTTTACATATCAGTCTAGTGCCTCTTTGCCTGATGGATTATTTACTCCTGGGACATAGTCCCAGCTCACTGGCTTTCTGCTTTCACAGGTTCCCCAGCCAAGAGCTGAAGGGCAGTCTCAGAAGCGTCTGTTTTGTGGTTATGGAAGTGCTACTATTCTGCAAATGCTTGGCCTGAAATTTTTCATATTGTGATGTTGCTGGACACTGGAACAGGCTCCCTGGGGAAGTAGTCACAGGCACCAAACCTGGCAGAGTTCAAGAAGCGTTTGGACAATACTTTCAGGCACATGGTGTAACACTGGGGATGGTCCTGTACAGGGCCAGGAGTTGGACTCAATGATCTTTGTGGGTCCCTTCCAACTCAACATATTGTGACTCCTCTTGTGCATCCCTGCCGTGGTGGTAAGCAAGAGGTTACACAAATGTAGGGGAACCTCACCTACCAAACACTTGAGAGGAATTTGTGGTCCAGTCCAGCATCTATCCCCACGCTAGTGGAGTGGCTGAAAAGCGATAGTAGAAAGGTACTCTGTGGTCCAAAATGGAGCCACGATCAGAAACTAAGACTATTGGATGGAACAAAAGGGCATGTTCGAGCTTGAACCAAAGGTCATGCAATTACCAGAACCTTTTACAGAGATCTCCCAGTGCATTAAAGTGGTAACACAGAGCATGCCACTTGAAAAAATTGTTTCCTGCCATTAAAGATTTCCTCTAAATGCCCAGTGATCTGAAATCTGTTCTTGGGACTTCTGCATCTTCTCAACTGAGATGAACAATTCTCAAAGTATTATTCTTTAAGCTTAGTTTCTGCTTGTTGATGGTTTTTAAAATTTTTTTGCTTTATTGGGGGAAAGGTGTTTTGGTTTTTTTTTTGTTTGTTCTTTTTTTTCTCTGACCATGTAATTACTTTTTTCCCTCAGGGAAGTTGTTCTTAAAAATTTCGCGTTCCTCAAGAAAAATGGGGCTAGCATAAGGTCTGCAGTATAGACACAGCCCTGATGGACATTACCTTACTGAGGTAGATGTAGGTTAGTTAGATGGTTTCTGTTTAAACTGTGACAAATAATAACACATAGGCCTCTATGCAAGCGAGGGTCTCCTATTGTTAGGGCAGGTTCTGCCAGTTGCACTGTATTTTCTGGTAGCAAGTTAACTACAATAGAATTCTGTGATAATAAAGCTTGCCCATATCTTGCTACACTTCTCGACTGACTGCACTATGAAGAAACATAAACTTGTGGCTGGAATATGAACTGTATTTTAATGAGTTACTTGGAACAGTGTTATGTTATTTAATGTGTTCCTCAAACATGAAGAAGTCTCTTAGTGTGAGATTGGACAGAAAGAATGAGAAGTTGTTCTCAACCAGGGAGGTAGATGGTAACACACATGATGCTTTTATAGATGCCAAAGTTACAAAAGGTTACCCAATTTTTTTTCAGTTGTTCATTTTACATAATACAATATTTTTGATCCTGTGTACATTGCCAAAGTTTTGCTGAAATTTGACCCAGATACTTATTTTTAACATTGTTTTGTGGTTTGTTTGCTTTGCTTGATGTTTATATAAACCTCTGTTTTGCAATGAGTTCCCAAATGCCACAGGACACAGTATTAGTTCATTTTTTTTATTTGAATAGCATTTGCATAAAAAAGAAATTCGGTACATTCTAATCTATGTCTACAGTCATATTTAATATCCAGGGATGAAATTCTCACAAACTGATTCATTTGACTTCCTACCGCTTTTTAAAAAATTGTGACACTTTTTCCTCTCAAATAATACACTCCATTAGATATCTACTTTATTACCAAACTACTAGAAAATATATTGCAGTCTGAGATTACAGACTGAAGGAAATCATCTTCTGAAAACAGTCTTCTGGAAAATCTGAATGTGACTGCATTAATTTTTCCCATTGCTATATCCCATGTCCATATTGATAGTTATTAGAGAAGTATTCTTTGAATGTAGAGAGCATGA